CAGCTGGCCAGTAGGGGGTTCCAAACCGTTGACCTTGGTGTTAGTTACCACCACAGTGATCTCCCGAGTGAGCTGACCGGCCAGCTCAGGAGCCACCGTTTTTTGACATGTTTTCTTCCCTTTAATCCCATTCAAAAGGCTGTTTTGATCAAGTACTAGGTATATTCACAGGATGTGTTAGCAGGTGTTATAGGCTGACTTCATAATAATAATAATTATTATTATTTTATTCTAAGACATTTTTTATTTTCAAGTTGAAATGCACAGACTATAAGTGTACAGTTTGGGGGCAAATAAAAACATAAAACATTTCTATCACTTCAGAAAGTTCTTTTATCCTATTCTTTTGGCCTATTTTATTTTATGCCTTTTATTTTAAATTTTATTTTTTTCCTACCAGATGTGAAGACACCCCACCGGATGTCTGAAGAGCCTCCTAGGAAGCTTACTACTTCGAATATTGGTGATTCCCTGGTTTCTATGGACAGAAACTACTTTGTTAAATTGTGGGCCAAACTTTCAGCCAAAAAAACACCAGCGGTAAGGGAGGGACAGATGGGGTGAAACAGCACTGGAGACTTATGCAGTGTCACACAGAAAGGGGATTGAATATTTTGAGACTTACAACTTTCCCCAGAACTATTCCCACTGGTGTCAGCTACAGACAGGATTTTTCCCCACTTTCTATGTCTCTAAGAATACACAGTGGTTCTAAAAACAGAATATTCAATGTAATAGTCAATGTAACATTTTTGTGAGTACCTTTCCCCCAGGCTCCCAGTGAAAACTCTGACACTCAATCCTATTTAGCAAGAAGAGAAGAGCGCTACAATGAAATTGCTGCAGTAAAATATGTATTTCAAGAGAAAACTTACTCTGTTGCTGAGATATAATGTTGAGTGTTCTTGAGCTGAGTCTGAAAAGTGAGGGCACTCAGAGTCCGTGTTTTGTAATTTAGTACCATTTAAACCGGTCATATAACTTAGTCCCAACTTAGTTCTCCAGAACTTTGAGAAATCAGCATCCACAGGAGTACTGAATGCAAACTGACTCTTCATTCAGATTCGCTTGTGCTCTTTTTCCATTCGTACTCATTGTTATGTGATTCTCTGGGAATACAAAGAGACGTAAGTAATTGCAATTAATTTTTTTTAATTTTTAAATTTTGAAATA